CTGTGTCAGGTTTGACTTGTCTCCCCAAAAGACCCTCCTGAGAGGCTGATCACACATGTAACACGGGAAAGGCATGAAACGGACGACAAGAGGCTGCGCGCATCGTATTTTTCTGTTTTACCTGAGTCTGGCCCTTTAAATTGAGAGACACCGGCTTCACCTTAAATCTGCAAAAGTTAAAATCTTCCCAAATTTACTCTTGTGCAGGACTGCTGCCAATTGTGAATTAGTGCACATAGCTTGGCGCAGCCGTATTGCACCAAAAAGGAAAAAAAAAAGGATTTAGCCTGCTCTGCAAATACACCTGTTGAATTGCTTACTTACACCTGGTTTAAGGCCCATTCTAGGTACATCACCATTGGCAGAAACGTGCATTCAACTGGGAATATTCAGTTTAACTCCGAAAAGTCTGCACATTTACCTTGCAGTTTTAATCAAGGCCCCCATTTCCTAACTCCTGCATTATTTACTACGCTCGTATAATTTCTCCATCCATCCTCTCTCCCTCATCTCATACACTCAATGGGCATAGCAACGCCATTATCCCCTCCAGCCAAGTGAAGGCTTGGAGGATTATGATCCAAAGTACTGAGAAAAAAAAAACAAAAAAGAAAACTACATCAAAACGCCAGCAAATCATAATTTTGATTGGTTCTCGAGCTGCACAGTGGCAGAGAAAAAGGCAATTCAGAGGGTGATTAAAATGGCCCAAAACATCATTGGCTGCTCACTCCCCTCTTTGGAAGAACGGTATAGGAATAGATGTAAGAGGAAGATATTTAATATATTGAATGACTCCTCTCATCCGGGACATCAGCTCTTTGAACTATTACCATCGAGAAGGAGATTCAGGGTATTAAGAACAAGGACGACTAGATTTAAGAACAGTTTTTATCCAAGTGCAGTTTTGAGTTTGAATGCAGGGTCATAAGATTTTTGTGGAATTTAATGGCTGAGAGTAATGGGGTATTTACATTTTTAAACTGTATAGAGATTATTGTATGGTCTGTTGTGTTTAATTTTATTTTTCTTTCAATGGTGTTGTCCAGTTTTACTTGTGGAAAAGCACCTCATTTCGTTGCACCCGCTTGCGAGTGTAATGACAAATAAATTCTTATGTCTTATGTCTTATAATTTTCCCCAATGCTAGAGCGGAAAACATTAGTTTAAATCTAAAAAAAAAAATCACCATTTGGTCTTCTCGGAAATACATCCACCGGTTTTGACTTGGCTCCCTTCTAAGGCTAAAACCATCAGGTTTCATAAAACTGAAAATGCAAATACTCTCACTCAGTAAGGACTTTAAATATTAACGTCTGTAAGTGCCTGGATAGCCTCAATCAGTGGAGTCAGGTCAATGCTTTAAAAAAAGAATTAAATAGCAAATGAAACACTCGCGGTAAGCCAAGATTCCTCAATTCCTTGTTTAAAGTCTAGGTTTTAAAACACACTTGGGGAAGGTATAAAATTCTCTCTTTGCAGAGTTTTATATTGCTTGCTTAAATAGGCAGGTAACTGTGCTGGCAGTCCTCAAAACTTACGGCCGCTTGTACAGTGCCTTCGAAATTATTCCTGACACAACCATCACAGCTTCCTTGCAGTCAATATGAACAAAATTTGGACAACTGGCTTGTATGAATGACGGTTGCAGCTTCCCCGAGTCCTTATGTGGGAAGAGTCAGGTCTCCCATTTGCAACCTCTCTGACAAAAGTCAGTCCAGGCAGTTGGATTTGCTTGGCCAAAGAGGTTATACAATCAGGACAGACTCGCTTAACGGTCGCTTAGCCCTGTGATGGCGAACTTATGACACGCATGCCACAGGTGGCACACAGAGCCATATGTGCTGGCACACGAGCCACAGTGAAAACCTTCCTCATGGTGCATGCATGCGCCTCACAGATAATTTTCAGTTGATTCGAGGCCTTTTTCGGCCTCCCAGAGGCTTGAAAAAAGCCTTTGTAGGCCGAATAATAGGCCCATTTCATCACTTCCTGTAATACCGGAAGTGACAAAATGGGCCTATTATTCAGTGAGCCGCAGGCAAACTTACCTCTCACTGCACGTGCACACACCTCACAGCTGATTATCGGCTGATTTGAGGCCCTTTTCGGACTCCCAGAGGCTTGAAAAAAGTCTTTGCAGGCCGGACAATAGGCCCATTTCATCACTTCCTGTAATCCCGGAAGTGACAAAACGGGCCTATTATTCGGCCTGCAGAGGCTTTTTTCAAGCCTCTGGGTGGTCAAAAAAAGCCTTAAACCGGCTGGAAAATCAGCTGTGAGGAACAATGCAGGTGGGGGGGGGATTGCGTGCATGCGCAGGGGCTGTAAGAGGTTATGCGCATTGCGCATTGGGTGTTAGCACACAGGTGCGCGCACAATTTTTGGCACAGGAGCCCCAAAAGGTTAGCCACCACTGGCTTAGCCCATGGTGGTCATAAGCGGAGGACTACTGCATTCTCAAAAAAATGTACATTGTGGGTTTTGCACAGCAGCGAGAACCTGGCAAAACGGGTAAGAAATGCCTTTTGAATTTGTCTTTCCCATGCTTACAATCTCACAACCCCAAACTCAGTTAACTGGCCAATTTAGCCATCTTGTTTCATTGCTCAAAGATAATGTGCCATTATCTTTAGAAAGAAAAGATCCTAAAAGCTGGGGAGACTCCTGTTCCTGGAAGACAACACATGAATTACATACACACACGCACCCCTTCCTAAATCTTGGACTGCATTTTAAGTTTCCAGGGCACATAAAAACCACAGGTAGCCCTCAACTTACGACGATTCCGTTTACTGACCGTTCCAAGTTGGGAGGAAAAATGACTTCCAGCCATTTTTCACAGTTGTACGGTCATGCCAATATATATATGATGGTCGCAGTGCCCCTTTTCCAACCTCCTGACGAGCAAATAGCAATGGGGAAGCCAGATTCACTTAACGACCGTGTTACTTACTTAACAGCAGCAATGATTCACTTAACGGTGGCAAGAAAAGTTGTAAAATGGGAGCCAAAAAATAATCACTCAGCAGGAATGTTTGGGCTCGATTTTGGTCATAAGTCGAGAACTACCTGTATAAACCAAAGTGGGATTCGAAAGGGGTGCTGGAGGAATTAAGCCCTCCGTCTTTCCGCCACTTCCCTCGTTCCTACTTTGTATCTCACCATCTTATGAACCCCCATAAAATTTAACAAGTCGAAGGTTTAGAGCAGAACTCCCCAAAACTGGGCCACTTGAAGACTTGTGGACTTCAACTCCCAGAATTCCCCAGCCAGCCATGTCTGTTTTTTTTTCTCTCAACCTCCTAAATTGGAGAGATTGCAGAGGAAGGGATTACGAGAGAGCAAGTGATGCTGGCTGGGGAGAATTCTGGGAGTTGAAGTCCAACAAGTCTTAAAAGTGGCCAAGTTTGGAGTCCTCTGTTTTACAGGAGTACCATTTTCGCTTTGTTTTTTAAAAAAGGCACCTAATTTGTTTCATTTCTTTTTCAAAAAAAGAGAAAATAAAAATCAAAAGAGCCGTGCATGAAACCCGGCGTGCCACAAACTACAATTCGTCGTGCATTTTGTCTCCTTTGGGCCTCACCAGCCGGCCGATAAACAGGACAGAGTTGGTCTTATTGTCCTTGACCAGGAAAAGGAAGGGATGGTCGACGTAGAAGAGTTTGGGGTTCCGGATTTCTTCGCGGCTGTAGAGGTCCGTGTCGAAAGGGTTGCCTTCCGTGTCCAGTTCGAGAGCCGCTGCGTGGAAGACGTTGGAGAGGTAGAGGTCCTTCTTGCCGGAGATCTTGGACAGGTCAGCTTTGTTCTTATCCGCGGCTTCGGTTAAGCCGAGATCAGCCAGGTGTTTCTGAACGGGGAGAGAGAAGAGAAAGGGGTCTGATTTTTTTTTCCCCTGCTCAACCGTTGGCTGAACTTCTGCGGTGTCAAGAGTTCGGGAGTCCTCGACTTACAACTACAAGGGAGCCCAAAGTTGTAGGTCCGTGACAGCGAGCCTATGACAAGTGTGCCGAAGTGGCATGCAGAGAGCCATGACTGGCGACACGCGAGCTGTAGGCAAACTTACCTCATTGTGCATATGCACAACTCACAGCTGATTTTCGGCCGGTTTGAGGCCTATTTCGGCCTCCCTTGAGGAAGGCTTCTGCAGGCTTTGCAGGCCGAAAACTAGGCCGGTTTCGTCACTTCCAGTATTTTCAGAAAAACAGGAAGTAACAAAACAGGCCTAGTTTTTGGCCTACAAAGCCTGCAAAAGCCTCCCTCAAGCCTCTGGGAGGCTGAAAAAGGCCTCAAACCAGCCATGAGGCGCAGTGCAGGTAAGGGGGCTGCGGGGTGGCAATTGTGTGTGCATTCGTAGGGCGTGTGGGGTGGGTGCGCAATCGCCTTCTGGTGCTGGCACACGAGCATCCACACAGTTTTTGGTACAGGGCCCCAAAAGGTTGTCCACCACTGGTATAAGGGGTCTCTTGTTCGTGCAGGGGGGTTGGACTAGAAGACCTCCAGGGTCCCTTCCTCCTCATATTCCCACTGGAGAGCTGAGGATGCTCACCTGAATGTCGTGGCTGACCTCCAGGCTGACCTTGGGCAAGGAGATGGCCACTGACCGTTGCTTCAACTTGCCCAGCCAACTCTGGAGCTGTTCCCGGGTGAGCATCTTCTCCAGGCGTTCCAAAGGCTCGACGTGGTTGGGCATGATTAGGATCAGGCTGGAGAGCTTGTGGGCCAACGGCATCTCCACGATCTGCAGTTTCTCCGCCTCGTCTGCGTAGTACTTGTACAACCCTGCACAAAAGTTTTAGGATCAGTGGGCTGATCCAGAAAGCGTGCAGAGAAGAGCAACTGAGGCGGATCAGGGGACTGGAGGTTAAAACGTACCAAGAATGGTTGCTGGAATTGGGGGTGTCTAGTTTAATGAAAAGAAGGACCAAGGTGTTGTGGCCCGCCAACGGTCAGTGGAGCTGGCGGCAGACTCGGACAGTGACGAGGAATATGGGCCAGTCCTGGAGTCTGGAAAGGCTCTGCGTCAGAGGCAGAGATGAGGCCAGGGCCGTCGGACAGTTATCAGCTGCCTTCAGAGATCAATGGGGCAGAAGAACAGCTGGAGCCTGTTCCCAGTGTGCGCATGCACAGAGCTGCTAGGAGAAGGGAACAGTTAAGGAACAAGGGTTGACTCGGGAGTAAAGGCACAGGTGGATGGTGAATGGCCCCTCCCAGAGGGAATAAAGAGGAGCGAAAGGGGATTGGGGTTTGCAGGAGACCATCCGTTCAATTCATTAGAGCGACAGTCTGTTCCTGACTCCTTGCCAAGTAATTGCTGCTACAGCATGGCGTTTGGAAGATATTGGCCTGGCAACTCTCCAAGCCTGATAAATGTCTGTAGTTGTGAAATCTCTCGAAAGACTTGTTTGCCGGGACTTTGCTGGAGAGGAATTCCCTTTAACTTAAAAAAAGAATAACAATCCAGGATTCCTTACCTGTACGGTGCATCATGGGAACGCTGACTGTGTAGGAACGAGATACCATGAAGCCACGATTGTCCACCATCTCGTGATGGAACTTCTCATCCCAGTGCGCTAAAACAAAACAAAACAGGCATGAATGACAAATGCAAACAGTGGTGTGGTGGCCTCACAATCGCCGCACAATCAAAAGGCTGTGAGTTCGATCCGAGGTAGAAGGCAGATATTTCTCTCTCTGGGCACACTTGAGAATATATCTCCTGAACAAAACTCCGCACTGGTGACAGGAACGGCATCCGGCCATTAAAACACTCTGCTTGTTCCATTCAGTTGCCCAGACTCCAACCCCGCAAGGGATTATGGAGTTGATAAAATGATGACGATTAATGAAAAATGCAACAATGGAAAACGAAGTTTGCAAAACGGGTTTACTTTAGATCAGGGTTTCCCAAACCTCGACCCCTTTAAGACTGGCTGGGGAATTCTGGGAGTTGAAGTCCGTCCGTCCGTTCCCCCCCACCCCGTCTTAAAGGGGGCGAGGTTGGAAAACCTTATCCTAGATCTGTGATGGCGAACCTATGGCATGTGTGCCACAGGTGGCATGCAGCCATTTGTGCCGGCATGCGAACTGTAGGCAAACTTACCTGACTGCGCATGTGCGCGCCTCACAGCTGATTTGGGGCCGGTTGGAGGTCTTTTTTGGCCTTCCAGAGGCTTGAGGAAGGCTTCTGCAGGCTGAAAATTAGCCCAGTTTCATCACTTCCTGTTTTTTTCTGAAAATACCGGAAGTGACGAAACGGGCCTAGTTTTCGGCCTGCAAAGGCCTTCCTCAAGCCTCCAGGAGGCTGAAAAAGGCCTCCAACCGGCCAAAAATCAGCTTTGAGGCACAGGGGGTGGGTTGGGATTGTGCACTCATGCTTAGGGGGCGCGGGGAGGGGGTATGCATTGACTTCTGGGCGCTGGAGTGCGAGCGTGAAAGCATGCGCACTATTTTTGGCACAGGAGCCCCCCAAAATTAGCCGCCGCTGTCCTAGATGCATTCCCAAGGAACAAATGAAGCGTCGTATTACTTTCTGAGTGGCCGCCAAGTGGACTCAACCACAGGAAAGGAGGGATCCAAACAAGGAAAGACGGCAGCCGCCGTCTCCATCTGGACCTCCCGATCCGCCTGTGGAGACCCATACCGCCAACTCTCCGCCACGTCCCCTCCACTCTCCTTCCGCCCACGCAGACTCACGTTTGAAGAACATGGCGTTGACAATTAAGGCCCCGTCGGTCTTCTGCACATCTTTGGTGACCTCGGGCAGCTTGCCGTCGGTGGTTTGGGCCGCCCACTCGTTGATGGACTTGAGGGCGCTCCGCTTGTCCCGGAAGTTGATCTTCGAGTGCTCGTAGTTGTAGTGCTTCTTGCTGTTTTTCACAAAGTCCTCCGCGAAGCTGATGGAGCTGGGGCCGTAGAGGCGGCTGCCGAGTTTCCAGGTGACGTTCCGGGC